TTGATGTGACCAACAACGATAAGCGTTAGTCCTTTGGCCATGAGCCTCCCAGGCCCCTTCTGCCTGTCTGCAAAGCAGATGGAGAAGATTATTCCATATTCATGACATTTCACAGGCTTGAAAACAGCTCACCAAACAACAGCATCTGTTACTCATATTTTAGAACTTCTCACTGGTTTTCTTCAGCAGTATGTGGGCGAGGTAAACAATGGATATCTCCGATAGTCAAATAGAGGCCATTTTTCAAAACCTTTGAATGCACATAAAAAATTGACTATACTCACTATTATAAGGTCCAGATTCATAACTTCATTACAAGATTCAGTCCTATAGGTACAACAATCACATAACTCACGTTTTCACACAAAGCTGAACTCAGTTTGTTGTTCGAATTTTCCCGTTCCACCTTAAATGGTGCAGCAGTAACATTCTGGCGCCTGAGGCCTCAGTCAACAGAATGTAACTACTGCACCATTTAAGGTGGAACGGGAAAATTCGAACAAGAAGCTGGCGAATAGGAAGTCAACTTCTGCCTCGTCGTTTTCACTGTGGCTCAAATGGCCACAGAGGCTCAGGAGAATAAAGGTAACGTATATGTTCTTACCAAATCCACACATTTTCGAGTATTTGGGATGAAAAGAAAATCTGATCTTCGTCTATGAGTCCTGCTGGCTTTCCCGCTGTTTCCTGTTCCAGCCGCTCACCTGGAGAGCGGAAGTGGGCGGGGCTGAGTGACGGTTTGTTACCTTGGTGACCGCGCTAAGAGCTGATATAAATAAAACTTAGTTCTTCATATTTTCGCGTCAACTTACTTCAGTGATCAAAATGATTTACTGGGTTCAGTACTGTAACTAAACTGTACAACTAGCAGGGTTTTCTGTTTGTAATGCCGTTTGTAAATGTATTTTTTGGATATTTTTTCCTTTGTCCCACTCTAACGATAACAATAACACATGCCAACAATAATGCTTACCAATAACAAATACTGATCAAAATATCTAGCCTGGTGGAAGGAGATCCAGATGCCTCTGTTTGATATTTCTGAAATAAAGAACTTGCTCAGCTTCTCAAAAATCACAAAAGCAAGCTAGACAATTTGAGCTTGTCTTCCACAGACATCCAGACATCAGTCATAATTTTGCATATTACAAGCAAAATAAATCATATTAAGGTATCAGCTTATATAAATCTTCTTAGAGTAAAAGAATTACATGTTATTTTAACAGTATCCAGGGTTTGGTTAAAAGAGGTTCTAAGGAGGGTCATCCTGCCATTTTTTATTTTTTCCCCCCTTTAAATAGTGTAAGGCAGATTTTAGGGTTTTTATAAAGGCATCCTGATAGATTATAAGACATGGGGATCATTCTTAAAAGTGACAGAGAAAACAATATTTGTGAAATTATACTGTATTTTTTTCAAGCACTTAATATACAAATGAGACACATATAGATCTCTTATATTGAGTATTATTAAAGTCTATAACTGACTGAGACTGTTTAAGACAGAAAAGAATAAGAGATTAAGAGCCCTACTGATCTAAGGATTTCAGAAGTAGCTAGTGTAATGAAGCTATGTGTTCAAAATGTCTGCAGTGGGAACACAGTGGTCTGCTCTTCTCTCCTCACTAATGAAGACGTACTGCTGCCAGCTCTGACAGGTTCTCTCTCCTCTAGCACACAACAGCACTGTCAGCTAGGGGGAGTCATAAAAGATCTTTGTTTAACTGTCAACTATACATATGATGAGTATCTTCTGCACAGGGATTAAGTATCTAAGGCCCTAGAGATTGGGAGCAGCTGCCTGTGGCATCTACTGCACGTCAATCAAACGGCATGCATATAGGCTGCTGTACTTATGAGAGTACTAATATTACACTACTCTGGTTTCATCACAAGGATTCCATTGACTGGCTCTCAACAAGATGTCCAATATTAAAAGACACACTGTGCAAAACCCCATTTGGACAGAGATATTTAAAGCGATGTGATTTTGTCCGTGAGAACAGAGAGACTGGAATCTGTCTGTCCATGTTAACAATTCAAACAATGGCTGAGGGTTAGGATAGGATAAGATAAAGAACAAGGCCTGGATGACCAAAGTCCAATCATGCTTAGCTGACGCACCTATGGATGAAAGCATGAGCAAATATTGGAAGACACAGGGTGTGTCAAGCCATCTACACAACAAAGAATAAGATTTAAAAAAAATGCAACTCCTTACTCGTGAGCAACTTATAAGGTGGCATAAATGTGCATAGGAAATAAATAATCAGGATGCATGATAATCATAAAATTATCAGCAGATAATTGCATAAATAAATTAACGATATCAGGCAGATATTTTAATTTGACCAGTATTTAAAAACAATATTTGATCACATATGTATTGTATTCCAGAAGAGCAGAACATTTAGGCATTGCTAGGCTTCTGTGCTAAAATGTCTTCCTTTTATTCATTTTCCTGCATTTGTAATCCCAAAGAAATAAATACTACATTGCTCTGTAAACTAATCCACGTAGATTAAGTCCTCATTTCTACATGTATCAGCATTGGCAGATACGTACACGAAAAATGAGACACTGGCCCACAATTTCCTTATTGGTGCATCCCTAGAAAAATAATTTATACATAAAATTGAATATATAAAAAAGTATTTTTTATGTAAAAGCTATATAACAATAAAAATAAAATACATACTTTAGACTGACAGAATGCTTCCAATAACTCCCCCACTGTGCTGATATAGTGAGGAAATATTTCCAGAGCACAAACACTTACACAAAAAACTTAATTAAGAAACAAAAATAGCCTTGTATCACAGCACCCCCTTGTGGGTCAGTGAGGCTCTGCATTTTAAAGGGGTCATCTGAAGGTCAGCACAAATAGGTTCATTCCTTTTAGACTGTTTTACACAATGAAATACAGCAAATACATCACCGTGAAAGACAAACAACACTCAGTCATAGTACTGGATGTCAGAATGGTACTTTGTCTGTTTTATTTGAACTGTTCTGGAAGCTAAATATTTGCCTCGGTACAAGAAACGAATACAAACACTCACAATAAAAACCAAGCCCACTGTCCTGCGATACACGTCATGGTATTCCGGGCTGAAGAAAACATGTCTCAGCAACAAAAACATGAGCTCAAGGCGGCCTGCCTTCTCAGTCATAAAACCCAAACAGAAGACCAGAGAAAGGGTCACAGAAGACTACAGTTATAATAATATTAAACTAGGCAATACAAATCTAACTGCCATACATTCAACATCAAAATAGTTTAAATGTCAGATCTATAAAAAAAAATGAACACACAAAGAGAGAACTGTGTGGGAACTGGGGGAGAAAGTGACGAGACAAATGATTGTTGGTTCTTGGTTCATAGACTTTGAAGACAAAAAATGTATAAATGTTTCCTGAGAGGGGTGGCTCTTGGCTCCGGACCCTTTCTTTGTAAGCTGCCATCTATTGTCTTAAAGTACTCAAACACAAAATAAAAGGTGAGTTTAAATTCTAACATTAAATGCAATATGTGTGGGAAAATCCTGACATGCCTAATTTGCTTGAAAAACTATTGACATGTATGTAAAAATTAATACTGTGCTGAAGCACTTTTAAGAGTGCTAATGTTAGAGCTGGTGGTCGATGGACTTGTGCGCTTAGATATTTAACTAAGGTCAGGTGGTCAAAAGGCCAAGTCAGGAGAGGGCTAAGGGTCATGCCAAAGGTTATCATAGTCGCTACAGACAACTTTTTCTGTCATCCCCCATGTTATCTGCTCATAAATACAAAGTATAATGTTATAACTAATCACTCTGAACAAAAAGACAAGTACTAATTTGTTTGGTTTCAAAGGAACAGAAAAAAAAATAAGGGAATACAAAATCACAGGCTGACTGACTAAATTCATCTAGAGGAGATTCTGTGTTCGGTCAGACAAGGCAGGTGATGTCCAAGGTCCTTCAAGCACTCTGACCAGTCAGCCAGAGCCGCAAAGATGAAAAGTGGGCAGAGTCTGTGCTAAACTACACCCCAGATTGGAAAACCTCACCTACCTGCATCCACACAGGATTAACATATGTCGTACAAGAAGACACAAGAAAACACATTTGTGAAAAAAAACATCTGGAAAAAAAAATAGAACAGAAAAACTAAAATCCCTTGAACAGAAAGGAGGAAAGGAACACCTCCGTGAAGCATGTTCGAACCGTCCCCGCTGTAGTTAGCGGCATCTGCTAGCCAGTTCTCGTCTTTTTGGTCCTTGGTCTGGAGTTAACTGGCTGATGTAACAGTTCTGCTGGTCAGCAGCAGTCACTATTAAAAGTCCTGGCGCCTGCTGTGGTTCTGGCTCTGTGTGGGGTTCTCTGTGCTGTGTGTGTGGGGCTTGCTGGGGGAAGGGGCTCTGCTGGGCTGGGAGACTGGCAGTAGGGAGTGGGCGTGGGCACTGGACGCCCCAGCTAGCTTCGTGCCCTCCGCTGGACCTCCCACACCACCAGGAGTCACGCCCACCTGACCCTGAACAAGCCTGCAGCACAGCCAGAGAAACATGTTCAAACACATGGCCTTGTATACCTAGCACAGGTTCAAAAATCTGATGGCAATATTTAGTGTCGTAGCAAAGTCATAACCCAGCAACTGATAGACAATTCAACCAATAAATGTTTGAGTCAAAGATAACCACAGAAGGAACAGACAGATCACTGAAGGAGTCTGAACAGGCAGAATATGAAGTGAGAAGGTGTATCTGCAGACTCCTCAAAGTTCTCAGTGCCACATTACAGACAGCAATCAACCGCAGCAAGAGGAGGGTCACAACTTTTACATATTGCTGCTTTTTACTGTCAATATGACATCTACTGTGCATGTCTACTGTCATTATGGCATCTATTGTACAATTTTACTATCATTATGGCATCTATTGCATGTGTGTACCGCCATTATGACATATACTATACATGTTTACTGTCATTTTGGCATCTACTGTACATGTTTACTATCATTATGGCATCTACTACATGTATATACTGCCATTGTGATATCTACTATACACGTTAATGCCATTAGGACATCTACTCTACACATTTACTGTAATTTTGGCATCTACTGTACACACATTCTATCATCATGACATTTACTGTATATGTTAACTATCATTACGGCATCTACTGTACATGTTTACTATTGTTATGGCAACTACTGCATGTGTGTACTGTCACTATGACATCTACTCTACATGTTTACTGTCATGGCATCATGGTACATTATGACATCTCTATACTCTTATGACATCTACTGTCATTATGACCTTGAATCTACATGTCTACAGTCATCTACTATACATGTTTACTGTGATTAGGACATCTACTGTATATGTTTACTGTCATTAGGACATCTACTGTACATGTCTACTATCACTATGCCATCTATTGTACTTGTTTACTGTCAGTACCACATCTACTGTACATATCTACTATCACTATGCCATCTATTGTACTTGTTTACTGTCAGTATCACATCTACTGTACATATCTACTATCACTATGCCATCTATTGTACATGTTTACTGTATCACATCTACTGTACATATCTATTATCACTATGCCATTTACTGTATGTTCACTGTCATTAGGGCATCTATTGTACATATTTACAATCACTACTGTACATGTCTATTACCATTATGCCATCTATTGTACACGCTTACTGCCATTATGACATCTACTATATATGTCTACTGCACAGCTACTGTACATGCTTACTGTAATTATGACATCTGCTGTGCATTTTTTGTGTCACTAATACATTCTAAAAATGTATTTTTTAATGTATTAGTCACTAATACATTAAAAAAATTCATTGTACAGGTCTCATACAGCAGGAGTTATTATGAACGGGTGTAGATGTTTGTGGTTGCCTGGATTCTGTATACTGATATTTACCTGGCTGGGTTTAGGTATACATTTTGTCTTGCAGGCCGCCGGGAGATATAGCTGGTAGAGGCTGGGCCACTCTGCTGAGTGAGAGAAGCAGTCAGATAGAGCAAAACCAGCACCAGAGAACGTGTGCGGTTTGGACAGTTCACCATGAGATGTTAAAAGAGCTTCTTGGAGCCCTTTGGTGGGACTTTGTGAGCAGTGATGTTTTGGGTTTGGGTTGATATGTATTTGTAGTTACAAGTGAATAAAGCAGCCACATTAGCTGTACTCTCAGTAGAGGAGTCAGTAAAATGGTAGGTGATCTCTAGGTATATTAAAACATTATGAAAGCACTAATCTCTGAAAGTTCCTTAAATGTTCAGGTGATGCTATATTAATTCAGTCTCTCAGTGACAAGGAACTGTCAGAGACAGAGAAAGACAAACCAAGATCGGACGGAAAACATCAGCAGGTGGGAGAAGGTAAGTGCCCTCTTTTTAATGCGTTCTACTGCTGCTTACCTGTATGCACCACCATTAAGCTCTGCATGCACCTGCTGCTCTGCTACTCCCCACGGTGCAGTGGCAACAAAGAACTCTTTGTTTACACAGTTTCTGAGGCTGTCTGGAATACGACCTGCAAATACACAGAAAGACAATACCATGGGTGCTGAAAAGAGGCTCAGGTCAGAATATGCCTGTGTCTCAATTCAGGAACTATAGACTGCATTCTCACACTACGTTATTTTTATTTGTTTTTTAAATTTTTGTAGCCTAGTTCTCTCTCAAATCAAAGAGTACATTTTTGCATTAAACAGAAATGATAAATTACCACTTGCGTCACTGACTGTGTGACCTCCATACAGTTTTAAAATAAAAAAAAAGTTTGCCTGAGATGTTTTGCTCCTAATTGGCAGTGGTCTTGTTCGGTGAAAATTTCAAACCATAGCTTCCTCTGATGGCTCCTCATCTTCAAATACATTTGTAACATCTGAGTACAGAGTGCAACGTTTTATTTTTTGCTGGTTCTAGTGTATCATCTGCATGTTAACGAACACTATATTCTACTGGATTACATAGTGTGAATAGACCGCCAGCGACCCAACAGTGTGTATTTAGTATGAGTCTGAAACCTGTTTTTGAGCCTGGGAATGGTCCAAAGAACCAATCCCTGGTTCTCCCAAAAACGGTTGTCTGGGAAACCTTGGTGTGGTTTGGAGTGTGTGTGAAAACTGTCCACTCCTGGTGCTGCGCATCAAATAACTGACTAAATGACTATGATAAATGACTGGTACATTTTATCAAGTTCCTCCCTATTTCAAGTTTGAATTGGTGGATGAAAATGGTGAAGATGGAAAGTAGTGTAAGCGCTTGCACCGAGAGTATTACACGGCTAAAAATCTTTGCTTCTTCTTCCCAGATTCCTGTGCTAGAAAATGCCACACATCCAATAACTGCTGTTCATCACAGTTTGAGTGTTGATGGCCTACCAACCTAACAATGAAGGTATGAGCCTGTTGTCAATTGCCATCCATTCATTGCCAAAACCAGTAATAGGATGAACCTATTGTCTACCATTTTGCAAAAATCATATGCACAAAGTTGATGTATGGAATCAACAGATTCTCAAATGTGGAAACAAACCTGTGATGAGCACCTACTTCAAACAAGTCCAGAATCGGTCCTGGATTCAAACTCAACTATTCGGGGCGCATATGTAATCACCCTAAGTGTCCATGGGTGGAGGGTTAATGTGTGTTAGCACTGATGTCTACATGCTAAAAGCATGTACCTGTGATGGCTCTTCGTATCTCGGTGGCGGCAGCCTCTCGCATCTCCAGTGAGGCCTGTTCACTGTACCATGCTGTGTGGGGGGTGCAGATCAGATTAGGAGCATCTTTCAGTGGACCCTGGGTAAAACTAGAGAGACAAAGGGAGGACAAGTGAGACAGGGACACTGACTCACAAAGTGTTCAATACTAGATTAGGCCAACAAAAGCCTGCCATGAACATATGGGTCCAACCTGAATGGTTCTGACTCATGGACGTCCAGGGCAGCTCCCCGAATTCTACCTTCCTTCAAGGCCTGAGCCAAGGCCTTCTCATCCACCAGCCCCCCTCGTGCACAGTTCACCAGGAATGCTCCCTGACGCATCTATAGCACAGAGGCAACATGCCATTAATGCACAATGGCGGTATAAGTATGCATTTGAAAGGGGCAGTTTAATTGCATAATTGATTACAATCCCTTTTATTTATGTTTAATAAAGTATGCACTCATTGTTGACCTATTTTCAAATCTGAAATTGTGTGATATGGTGTACTGTTTTTATTATCTATAATCCACGATTGGTAAATGATTCTTCCAGACACATTTGTGCATTTAATGTATTAACTGAATTGAAATATTGTGTAATGCATCGTAATTGAATTGCTGTGAACCTTACTGCATATATTCTCCAAGTTCAATAAGTTAAAAACACAAAGTACTTATACTGGCCCTAAAAGCAAGAGTTTAGAACTGCAGAATAGCCACTAGGTGGCAGTGGTGTATTTAACACTGTGCTGTACAGAATTCTAGGGAAATCTTACAGGCAGTCTGTGTATAACCAGAGAAATTGTAGAGATGAGAATTACCACTCTGCAATGTCTTCCGGTTTTCTAAAACGCTAGAGGGTGCTCCCGAGCGAGTCCAAAATGAATGGGTTGATATAGAGCATTTGAGCAAAATCATAGTTTATAAATGCTTAAACATTTTTAATGTACAAGAATGCTATCATTGCCTGAACACAGAACATAAAACATTTTAACACCGCTGTTATATTTCTAAGAGCTTTTAAACTCGAGTTATAGGAGTTTAAAACTGCACCCCATGTATGTCCATGACATCAGTGAGCGCGAACAGCCAATGAGCTGCTCTGCTCGCCAATCAATCATCACACTCTAGCAGTAATGCCCGCCTCCTGTGGCCCAAAACCCATTTGCTGTAGAAAAAAGGAAATATATAGGTGAGTTCTCTTTGTTTTTTTAGTGAAATACATCCTTCTACTTTCTAAAATTAAAGAAATGTTCTGGGTAAGTGATTAGAAACTATTTTAACTTTTCGTTTTAGCCGTTGAGCTCCATTTACTCCCACTCATTGAGGACTCACTCGCGGGCGCCCTCTGCTGTTTAGCAGTCCTGTTTTTGCTATAACGGGAGGAATAGGGAGTGGCCAGGCTCCTCATAAACCGGCTCTGGTATAACAAGTGCTTATGCTGATGTCCTGTACCAACGCACCTGTTTGATGGTAAAGTCATTGATGAGGTGGTGGTTATGTTCATTCAGGTTGCAGTGTAGAGATACACAGTCGCTTTGGTACAGCAGGTCCTGGAGGGTATATACTCTCTGGACCCCCAGTGACCGTTCTAAACCGTCCTGTAGATATGGGTCATAAAAGATCACGTTGAAGCCGAATGCTTTTGCCCGAACTGCCACTGCTTGACCCGATCGGCCTGTACAACACACAGATGAACTCTTGATTTATTTAAATGCCTTCACATATTTAATCTGCAACAAAACATCAGAGAACAGCCAAGATATAAATAGCTAACTAGCTTCACAGACAGACGTTCATGTCTCACATTTATTCACTATCATTCAAAATTTGGCAATCATTTACCAGATATGGACAGTTTGTTATTTCAATTGATTGATTTTATTTAATAATAACTTATGCAGTGTTGACAGAAACATCTTAAACCATATATATATATATATATATATATATATGTATTTTATTATATGTTAGGGAATCATCTACAGTTCTGTTCATCAATTTTCACAGCTTTGTTACTTATTTGAAACAAAGTCATAGAGTACTTAATCATTTTACACATATACTCTACTGTAGGTATTCATCACTTAATTCTTGATGCTGTGCAGCTTTATTAGTCATTTTAGCATCAGCTACAACTAGTTTTGCTCCATTTACTAGCATTTACTACCATGTCTGGTCACTGTAAATTTAGATAATCAGTGCCTGTTAATATTCTTAAAATAACAAAGAACTTCAAGTATGCTCAGCCAGTTTTTCACTCTCTCTATCTCACCAAAGCCAATAAGTCCGAGCGTTTCTCCTCGTATGCGTGCGGCTCCTGACGCCAGCTCTCTGATCTGCTCCACGCTCTGGACCCGCGAGCCCTCCCGGAGAGCCTGGTACAGCCATGTGTTCCTGCGATACAGGTTAAGGATGTGGCAGAGGGTAGAATCTGCTGTCTCCTCTACGGCTGCTGATGGGATATTACACACTGCAATGCCTACACAGACAGGAAAATACACTTGGTTTGTATACATGCATGTGAAGAATCATTCACTGAAACTCAGCCAGCAGACAACTGAAGATATGAATAGACTAATGCTGCTTTTTTCCTCTCCAACTGAATGCAATCCAAATGAAAGCTAAGGCTCTAAACACATGCTGTGAAAACAGTTCAAGGCAATATTTTTATGCAAATATTCTACTCAGTGCTTATAGACATGCACACCAGTATGAATATACGCAACTTTGACCGTAGTATCTCAGTAATTGCAGTGAGAGGCAGCAGTGAGCCACAATCTATCCCTCACTTTAAGGTCATAAACTGAGACTTATCTGAGCATTAAAAATCACAGAAACATGGAGAGGTTCCAGTCATCACCTATCTGATTTGGTACAAGAGTGACTCTATGCCCCACTTTAGTTTACATTAGACCTCCCTCCAGCACACTTTATCTCTCCCTGTGCCTAGGATTCTATTCTCTATCACAACAAAAGGCATTTTTCTGGAAACTGTGATGGGGATTGTGTTTCTCGAGACAGCAACAATGCAGAGTGTTCAGCTTTTCAGAAATGCAGGAGGAAAGGCTTGTCCCTTTCTCAAAGCTGACAGTAGAGTGAGTGAGTGAGTGAGTTACGAAGCCAGGTCGATGTGGTGCTTCACATTTAAAAATATATCAAGATAATTAAAGACATTTTCACATAACACAATATGTATCACAACGCAGTTTCCCTGAGGTTGGTGAATAAGTTGGAATGGACTTTGTTACCAGTTCTTACGTCCTTTAGCCCTTCATCAAAGGTCAGGCTATAACCTCAGGACTGCTGTTGGCTGGAAACTGACTGAAGGACTATTCTAAGCCTTATATACACCATGACTCTTTTCCAACACAGTCTTTACACATCATTTTATAATTTAATACCCCTAATAGTACAAAATAAGACATTTTCATACATCTTATTACCTTACATTTTTAAAATCTATTTTATGTCTTAGATTTTTCAAGGATCTGTAGGAACCCTGTTTTTCTAACTTTGTAAACAAAACTATTTAAGAAGGAAGAGAAATTAAACAATTGCTAAAAATGCATTAATAAAATAAGACGATGGAATAATTTGTTAACATCCAGTCAGCTACTCCTTATTATTTAGTTTATGCAGTTACTATAATGTGGTTGTTGTTGCTCTGGCCTGACTGCTGCAGTAAGTCTTACCCATCTCTCCGGCAGCCTTTATGTCAATGTTGTCGTAGCCGCTGCCAATGCGGATGATGATGCGTAGAGCTTTAAACTTCTCCAGGTCCTCTCTGGTCAGTGTAATAGTGTGATACATCATCGCTCCTACAGCCTCATTTAGGACCTGCAAACAGAGCTCAGTCCTTTCATCATCATCATCATCATCATCGTAGGAGCCATCATGTCCAGCAAAAAACAAAATCCTTCTTTCATGTAAATAAGTCAAAACAAGCAGCAAATACAAGCAGCATCGACAAGCAGCAATTGAGTTTCTGTATATTTCTTGTTCCTATGATAGTTAGTCAGGTCCATAAATATTTGGATGTCAACAGAGTTATTATTTTAAATGTTTACCACTGCATACTGGAATTGAATTGAGCATACATTTCACTTACTGACGGCAAAACTGAAGCACCCCAACAACAAATAGGAACTGAAAACAGCCTCAGTAAAAGCCTGGCAGAGCATCACCAAAGAAGAAACCCAGCACCTGGTGACGTTTCACACTTCAGGATAGAAGCTCAAGAAGACTTTTCACTTTAATTTGAGTGTGGGTAAATGGTAGAGGAAGAACTTGCAATTAAGTACTAAAAGCTACAATTGAATTTATGATTGTTAATTTGCCCAATTACTTTTGAGCCCCTAAAAATGGGGGCTCTCAATGAAAATAGTTGTAATTCCTACACTAATGCAAAGTCTGCACTTTCAGCTCATATTCTTTGTTCACTTTCAACTCCAATAAGCTGTGGTAGACAGCAAAAACAACAACTTTGCCACTGTCCAAATGTTTACAGATAAAAGATCATTTCATCTCTTATCTGTAAGAACTACAAAAATATCATACATGAAAAAAGACAAAGAGCATGATACCGGGAAAGTAACAGACGAGGTGTTATGTACCTTCTCATGTATCTCCTGCGTGGACTGGGCATCACAGAAGGCCACAGTTGCCAGATCTTTAAGGATGGGCATCTCCACTGTACAGTCTCGCCCATCCAGCAGAGCTACCAGCGGCCGGGGATGCATTGGCCCGTTCATGATCTGAGGCCTTATACCTGCAAAGAAAAAAAGAGAGCGAGGGAGAGAGAAAGGGAGAGTGTTGATGTGTTTGTGTACTTCAAAGAATTGGAGAAGCACTTTGCATAAGTAGGTGTTTGAGAAAAGGATTGAAGGAGAAGGAGAGAAACACACTTTGCATGACTTTCCCGCTCACGCTCTTGCTGTGAATGTGGTTGTCATGGAGATTACAGGATTTGAACAGGATTATGAATATATTTAATTTAATGGCATCTGGAGGAAACATTTCTCTCCCCCTCTCTTTCTCTCTGCACATTCTTCAGCAGTGCTAGAGAATTATTTACCGTGCTATTATTAAAAAGTAATAATCACGGTATCAGACGTGTCCCTGGATTCCCTATTAAAAAAAAGGATATGCATTTCAGATCAAGGGGCTGGAATCAGATTTAAGACAAACGGACATATGAGATGCATTGCAATGCTGATGACATGGCAAAGCATCACACACACTTTACACAGCATACTTAGGCACTTATACAAACACAGATACACACACACACATACACACCCCAGAGTTACTGGTCGTGCTCCTCGTGTTCGAGTAAGTGACAAACTCACATTACAGCACACGGGTGTTCAATCTTATTCCACAAAGGGCCGGTATGGCTGCTGGGTCTCATTCCAAAAAAGCATGAACACACACAATCAATTGTCTGAGACCAGTTTATTGAACAAGCAGAAGCAGGTGAGCACCTGCTCGATTGAAATGAAAACCTGCAGCCACACCGGCCCTCTGCAGAAAAGATGGGACACCCCTGTTCTAGAGGTAGAATTAGTTAAAGACAACAACAAGTGTCCCTCACACGTCTGCAGGAGACCATGCTGCCAAAGCTAAAAGCTTTTTTGGACATCCTCAACCCCTGTGATTCACTTTTAAACAAAGGGGACATCTTTACACTGCTCTTATCCAAAAAGACAGCATCACATATGTGCTAATGTGTGTGAAATCAAACTTTCAAAATCAAAAATGAGAAGAGACAGGAATGAGGGAACGAGGGAGGGTGAACGTGTAACGTAATACTGTCTCTAAAACCACACGAACAATAAATGTCTGTCAAAACAAAAGGAAATGAGCAAAATTTTCCATAACGTGGACACTGAAACTGACTGATAGAAAGAAAGTGTGTGTGTAATGTTTGGGGGGTACATGAGTGCATCTAACTCCAACACACACACACACACACAGAGAGAGAGAGAGAGGAAGCGAGAGAGAGAGAGAGAGAGAGAGAGAGAGAGAGAGAGAGAGAGAGAGAGAGAGAGAGAATATAAGCACAGAGAGAGAGAATAAGCACAGAGAGATTGGGGAGAGATAAAGGAAAGAGTAGAAAAAGACAGTAGAAAGAGTAGAGAGTAGTGTTCAGAGAGAAAGAGTAGAAAAATGCAGAGAGAACAAGAGAGACAATATCGGGGAGAGAGAGAGAGAGAGAGAGAGAGAGAGAGAGAGAGAGAGAGAGAGAGAGAGAGAGAGAGCAGATATAGTAAGGAGTGAAGGAGGGAGACAGAGAGAGAGAGAGAAAGATTCTTGGCTGAAATAGACGGGCAGTGAAGTGGCTTCACCTCGCTATCAATGGCCGCTCCTGGTTACCTAGCAACCTAATCTCTCACAGTATGTTAGTGGAGGTCCTGTGAAGAACTGCACTCATACACAAACACACACATAGCACACTATACAAGTCGCCAACAGGCTCAGTACACATCCAGATCCAAAACCAAATCTCAGATACTCTGCCAAACAGAGGGTGTGTGTGAGAGACTGAGGGGAAAGTTAGCTTTTATACTGCGTCACTCTTTCCTTCTCTCCTACATCCCCTCCCTCTCTCTATCCCCGTCAGGTGTTCGTCTGACAAACCTCCACTCAAAACGCACACACATGCACAAGCCAGAGGAAAAAGGAAAGAAAAAAAATGAACACAAAATTATGGACATAGTGTTATTAAAGGGCCAATATCATGGAAAATCTATGTTTTCTTTCTTTTTGAAATGACAAGAGTTTAATGTATAATGTAAACACTTAATGTGTCAAAACATACCAGTAACATCGCAGTCCATACAGGTCATATATGGAAACGATGCTGTTTTGAAATCATTGTGTTTGTGATGTCACAAAAACCAACACATTTATCTGCCAATTCAGTCTACAACAGTTTAGCTCTGCCCATTAATGCTGAAGTTATAAGGCATGTTTCATCTTGGGCTGCTTTTTGAATGAGGACCAATACAAGGCAGCCAATCAGAACAAAGCTCATTTACATACATCAGTCATAAAGGCACAGGAGGAAAAACAGCCTGTTTAATTATAAGGGATAAAGAGAGGTCAGGAAATGGTCACAAAAGAAAAAAAAAGTGTAATAAGTGGGCCTCAGGGGAAAAACAGTGAAAGAAAAATACAGGATATGGGCCCTTTAAGCATCTACTTGCTGCAACATAAGCACTTACATATGTGCACATGTATTTGCTGACTTGAAATAAAAAAGCAGCACCAACGTGCAACTTATAACAACACCAATCAGTAACTGCATCGCTATTAAAGCCGTAACGAGAACACACACAAATGCACGCGCACACACACACACACACACACACACACACACACACACACACACACACACACTCCCGTCTATGAAAGCCTCTGAACGAGTGTGCGAGGAAACATGCTGCTTGCCTGAAAACTGCTGCCTCCACATTCCTCCCATTAAGAGCTGTGCGGAGCGAGTGAAAAATGGAGGGAGGAGAGCAGAAAAAAAGACTAGTGTCAGAGTGAGTGTGTCCTGGGGGGATCCCTCCTCCTCCTCCTCCTCCTCCCCCCTCACTCGCTCCTCTCCTTCTTCTCCTCCTCCTTCTTCTCTCTTCCTCCTCGTAAATCAGCCTCTCCACCCCTTCTCTATCTCTCCCTCCGCTGCTCTTCAGTCCCTCACTCACAAACACACACTAGCCTGCTCTTCTCATCTTCAAGTCTTCCTGTCTTCTTTTTTTCCCCTCTTTTCTTTCCAGCAGCGCTCCACGTTCCCACTGTTCTGTTGCCCAGCTTCTCCCTCTCTTCCCTCCCTGCCAAGTGAAAACAATCCTCTCCCAGTGAAAAAAGTGGAAGAAGGCGCCAAAAAGGGCAGCAGCGAAGAAAGAGCAGAGGAAAAGACTCCTACAAAACGAGTGCCAGTCCAAACGAGTGGCTCTGCTGCTCTTCTTTCTTCGTGGCTTCAGTCCTCCTCCTCCTCCTGCTGCTGCTCTTCCACTCTACCCTTTCTCTCTCTCTCTCCTTTCTCTGCCCTCTTCCCTCCCTTTCTCTTAAATTTATGATTCGTACAACCACAGCATTTACAGGCTATCAGCCCCCTCCTCTCTCTCTCTTTTCTTCCCTAACCTCGTTCTCTCTCTCCCTTGCTCTTTCTCTTTCCTATACACACACACACACACACACACACCACACACACACACACACGCGCATGCACACACCCCCTGTGGCTCTCTCTGGTCTCCCAGTGGTATTTCCTGAGCTCTATCTGTTTTTCAGTTCCTTTTTATTAGCCAAACATGTCTCCTGCTGTTACATGGTGCTGTAATGTGAGCACTTACAGAAAGAGTGGGGGTGTGCGTGTATTTGTGTGTGTGTGTGTGTGTGTGTGTGTGTGTGTGTGTGTACAAGGGAAATGAAGTGGATGCATGAATGAGTGAATAAAATACAGAGAAGAGGTTTAGCAGAGGCTTAAGGTGTGATAGGGTCTTAAATGGAAATTTTACAATTTTACAAAGTTTCAGTATAATAAAATCATGAAGATGTAAACAAAGTCACTCACAGTGGTCTGATGTGAACTGCGCCAATTTAGAGATACGTACTGAGTCAGAATTATGGTGGTGATAGGAATCAGACATCTGAAGAGTTTAATCCTAAAAGCTCTCACAGCAATACCCTGTAATTTATTATAAAAAATTGGTTATGAAAACCTTCTCTCTACACAGTGATAAGGTTTTGGCCTAAATGTCATTTTTAAAATTGAAGGTGGAGAAGCACATGCAGGATGTTGTAAGGAAAGTAGTATCCAAAGAAAACGTTCTTTTGAATTGATTTTTTTTTTTTTAAATCATAATCATATTTTGGATAGTACATAAAATTGATATCTTAGCGTGGTAGACGTTGTGACCCCTACTTTCTATTATCACCACTGAAAGAAATCAGAAGTCAGTAACTTTCTCTACAAGGCTCTACTTCACGTCAAACTACTTTCAAATGACTTTGGGCTGTTTTAGAGTTAGCACTAGAAACACATTAATGCTGTAAACTATTAATGCCACTAATGTTTTTAAAGCTGTTTACCCTAGTTTGACCCTTCAAATCACCCTGAAACAAAGAGTGATACCAAGCTGCTTGGGCGCTGTATGTTGCTATGACAAAATCTGTGATTGCAGCCATTTAATTCAAATACAGCCCTTAAATAGCTTTTAAAGCAACACAGTACCTTTGGCAGACTACACTGGATAGTGCTCCACTGTACCAGGAATCCATGAGCTGTATGTACGACAGCAACAGCGCAACAATTGTGGGAGAGTGTGAAACATTGAACTTAAATATGATATACATGAAATGTACACTCCTCATTTGGTGCTTTTTAAATGAAAACAATCTCTCAAATATGAGCAGACAAAAGGAACTGATTGACTGCAATTAAACACAGAAAAAGGCAATTATTTTAATCATTTGACAGCTTTGTTTACATCTCATTGATTGAAATCCACAGAAATTTTGAAAAATTTGTGGAATTCCCCTTTAAGAATAGAAATGTATGTTTTTAGCAGAAGTGAAGGAGCTGCAGAAAGCTACTGTCAGACACTAAACAAGATTTATAGAGAGTGAAGACGTGCCACACCTTCTCACATCTCAAACGCACACACACGCACACACACACACACACACACAAATTCAGAGATATTTTCAGAGATACTACACAAGCATGTGACATAGTGACATTCAGATATTGCTGAATTC